AAATATGTCCACTGAGGGCAGCTGCACCACCAAAGGAGTGGCCAGCAGGGCTGGGGCTCTGCCATCTTGCCTATGAGCACACTGGTAAGTAGCCCTTTCTACCCTCTCCCAGCCCTTGGCCGCAATGCCAGAGGGGAAAAGAGAACAGGCCCCTGGCGGCTGGGGGAAGGGGTAAATTGTGGGGGGAGGGGAGACAAAACTAATGGGACTTCTGGACCTTTGCCAGTATAACGTTAAATCCCTGGATCCTTTATTCTCCAAATTTTTATATTTCAAGAGTAGTTTTCATGGTAATATTTGGCAGAAAGGTGATCAAAAAAGTACAAACAGGGCTGTTTTTCTTGCCTGCAGAAAAAGGGGGATTTATTGTATAAATCTCACGATTGTGTGTAATCGTGCACAAATCCATCTGGAATAGGGATTAAAATCAATATAGGCTATGTTAGCCACTGACCACAACGATTGCATTGACTGAGATTGCACATTAGCCTGAGTGAAAAACCACTGCAAATTATCTCACTCCTTGGCAATGTATTCCATATAGTTTTGTACCCTTGACCTTAGCCCGAAAGAGCCATTGCCATTCTAGAAGGTGCACTGGATAACACACTATTGGAAAGGGAATGAAGTATACATTGGATATGGTTTAAAATAGAAAAATCTGCCAAAAAATTGCCTGTGTACTGTATGGCTTTGCTGGCTCCCGTGTACAAAAAACATACCCCAAATTAAAAATTCTTCACAATTCTTAAGCAAATTATGAGTTATCAGTAAGCTGCTAAAACAAGCTGTGTTTTGCTCTAATTCTGCAATGAACCACACCAATTCAAGGAAAGAATCTTGTTGTTTTCTTTGGAAAGTGAACTCAGTTCCCGAAGAAAACATTTTCCTTTGATTCTTGGAGTGGGAGTTCTTTTCACAGTCGCATCAGGTGGGAGACAGGAGGAAAGGGGCTTCCATTGCTCAGCTGATGGGGAACTGGTTTAGATGACAACTTTCTATTGAATTTAATTCTGTAATGTTGGGCCATAGCCAGATCAACAGACGTTAAGATGCAACTCTACATAGACCTCTCCCAAGAAAAGTAACAGACTTTCAAAGTCGATCCATATTCGGAAATGATCAAAAACGAGATAACAGGATCATCTGTCCATGTTCCAGAGCTACAGTTTTCAGATTTGGGACTCTCCATAAACTTTTATTTTCACAGCTTGTGACACTGTGCCATCTGTCAAAACAACT